GAGATCAGAAGAGGGTGGAGTTACAGGGGGTCATAAGCCACTACCAGGGTTGTGCTGAGAACTGATGTGGGCTCAGGACAAAAACACACTCTTAACTACTGAGCCATTTCTTCAGCCTCCAATTACGGTTGTTTTTACTTCGTGATGGTGCAAAGGCGGCTGTCACTCTACCGGAGCTTTACTGCAGATCTTTCCCTAGGCTAGCAATGTTGGACAGCAGCCCTGCGCCTGTGGCACTTTGAACTTGGGACAGCTTCTACTTTCCATGAGTCCTTCTGGATAGGATCCTATCAGCAGCCAAGGGGTCTGTGTCATAAGTGAAATACAAGGTATTGTTACTACAATGTCAGTCCCTTTGCTCTGAAAAACTGAAAGACAGAGGAGGGAGGTGCTTCGCTAGAGGTGGATGGGAAATGCAGTTTCCAACTAGATTTTCTGTTCCTTGGTTTATGACATACTCCCGAGTCCTTGGTGTCTAGCAAGCACCCCTCCTCATTGTAATAATATGACAGATTGAACTATTGTTCAAAAATATTCATCTCCTCCCTTCACCTTCTGAGGAGGGATCTACTTCTCCCTCTTGGCTGTGGGCTCAGCCATATCAACTGCACAGGCCAAGGACAGCAGAAGTAACAAACAGAACATGGACTGTTCTGCAGTTGTGCGTGGCTTCTTGTACTTCTGCCCTAGAAGGAAAATCCCCTGGGTAGCTACAAGCTCTTCAGCCTGATGTTTGGGAGGCCACAGGACAGCAGATCCACATGGCCCTGTAGGGCTGGGGTGTGGATCAGCGGTGGAGTACTTGCCTAGCATGTGTGAGGCTCCGGGTTTGATCTCTGGTAGCACACAAACATTTCCCATCTAATGGCAGTAGACTACACTGTTGGGGTAATAACCAGATTGTAAGCCTGTAATTGTATTGAGTAATGGAGAGTCAACAGCTGTGTTCTTTAAAAGTATGCATAAATCGCATTTCTATAAATTGAATCTCACTCTAAATGTACCAAAGGACTATTTAAAGAAATGCAATCTTGAAATTTTTCATTTGAAAATAATCATGGGGCTGAGAATGTACCTCAGTTGGTAGAGTACTTGTCTGTTAGGTAAGAAGGCTTGAGTTCTCTCCTTAGCTCTGCCTAAGCTGGGCATGGCGGCCCAAGCCTGGAAGCCCAGCACTCTGGCTTCCACCATGAGGCAGCCCAGCCTCTCAACAGTAGAGCATCCACGACAAGAGTAATGTCAAATGCTTGTCATCATTCTTTATTTCAAAAGTGCTTTACCAACACATACTAATCTTCACAACATCCAAGGGAGGTAGATAAGTATTACATCACTTTCACGGATGGAGAAACTGAGGCAGAGATTAGTTAAACTCTGTTGAAGAGCATAATAATATGGCACAATTGGGGAAGCATCTGCTGCTGTCACAGGTTCCTGGTCACCTTTCCCATGACTTTTGAGTCCCACGAACACAAAGGTAGCAACTGTAGCATGGAAGCAAGTCACAGAAACATGGACCAAGGCCGCCTCAGGGGCTGAACGAGCCATCCTCCAAGCATCCCAGGGACAAGCATCCTTATACCTTCCACCTGAAGCCTGGGAGAGTGGAAGCTGTGGTGGGGGCAGACGGGGCTGGAGAAACGGGGTTGGGGAGGGGAGAGGAGGCAGGGAGGAGTAGGTGGACCGCCTGGGCAAGAGCCCCGCAGGGAGGACGGCAAGCAGAAACGAAGTGCCATCCCCCTGAAAAGCTCAGGCGTCCAGAAATGCTACTAAAAGGGCAATTCTCAGCAATGACATTACAGAGCCACTCCTCATAGCTTTGCCAAATATAATTATCAGGTCCTTGTGACATTCCCAGGAGGCACAATCATTCCTTTCCTCTGGCCTAAACCAAGTGCTGATGTAATTGACCTGACACGGCAGAGGCTGTTGACAACTCAAATGTACTCTCCCACTGTGTCATCTCTGCCTCCCAGTCTCTTCGGAAGTGAAACAAAAGAAAATGCTCTTAGAGATTGTCCTGGCAAAACCCTTGAAACAGCCCTAAATTGTGGACCCACTGGGTAGGATGCCATCTTTGATATTTTTTTTTAAAAAAAGAAGTGTGATATTAATACATGGAGGTCACCAACCTTTTCCAGACAGGATTTCTCTATTCAACATGGGACATAAAAAAACAAAATGAAACAAAATAAGCAAAACACCTCAAATTGGTGGGTGCCAACCACCTAGAGAAAAACTGGAGGCCACCACAAAAAAACAAACAAGCAACAAAAAACCTGCTGTAAGAGATATCAAATGAGGGGCCTTTAGTGGCAATGGGGATATTAGTGACAGAGGCAGTGCCAAATGAGTCGGGTGACCAAGGACCAGGTGGAAGGAACAAGGATAAAGAGGAGAAAAGTCACGGCAGAGATGTGACAGCCAAAGACCTGAGAACAAGTGCCAGTGTTTGTACCTAGGCTCCTCTACGACAAGCCGTATGTCCTAGAGGACATCTGCATCGTCCCTTCGTGTCACTCACCAGTATTCCCTCATGAGTCTAGGTCTGAACATCTCCCACTCCTCTCTAACAAAAACCATCACCAAGTCAGCCTCTACCCTTCACGCCGGTCTCCACTTCCTCACCTCCCCCTGGTCCTGACACCTCACCTAACCAAAGCCAAGCCCTCCTGCTTGCAAGCCCCAACTTCAGTCTCCTCTCCTCTCAGTTCCATCTTCTGGTTTTCCTCCTGGTGCACAGCTCTGACCTAATCTGAAAATCCCCCTCTCCCTCACTCTTCTCTCTCCCATCCACGTGTCACGGAGTGATGTGCTCCGCATTCCAAGTCACCTGCCAAAATGTCAGCTCGAAAGCCTCAATTCAAACACCCCCCTTCTATGACTCCTTTCCTCGCTTTCCTTCGTTTTCCGTTATCTGAAAAAGCATTTGACGATGTGTACCAGTTAAGTCCACAGCCCGCCGGGTACCAGCCCTCCCTCCCAACGTCCATGATGTTCCGCCATGTCTTAATATTTTCTCATGTGTATCTGTCCCACAATTCCTGTCGAGAAATGATTATTGCATTCCCACCTCAAGTAATGACGGCCTTAACAGCAAAATGAATTGGGATGTGCTGTGTTTGCTCATGAATGAAGATGCTTCAGCAAGCACTCTGTAACATTACCCAAGTCTCGTCATAAAACAAGTCCTTGATACAGCTGCGAGAGAAAGGGTACAGACAGCAGGTGGGGCTGTGTGTTTCAGAACCAAGAGATCCTGCCTGAAGTTCTCTTTTGCTATTTACTAGCTACAGGCCTGGTGCCAGATGGGTTCTCTGAGCATCAATTCCTGACTTCATCATGGCTTTGTGGGATTAAGAATCAACAGATATATAATCGTGAACTCTGCACAAAGTGGTTCTCAATCTCAACGATGCATCATAATCACCTATAAAGGTTCCAAAAATACTGAATGTCAGGCCCCACCCATTGTCAACTGATTCAGAACCTCTGGAAGGGAGACCCAGTGGGGCTAATTAATTATAAAATATTGTTTCGAGCACATAGTCAAACATTGCAGACCTCTACTGCAAACTCATAAATACCATTAGCAGTATAGCAAGGGGCTTTAGGCTCCGGCTTAATTATCCTGCATTTGTTCAGTCAGGAATTAGTTCAGTGCTTTTATAGTCCAATTAAAATGCACTATGGTGTGGGGAAGTTTTTTGTTAATCTTTGCTGCTGTTTGTGAGTTTAAGTCATAAATTCTTAGAAAAGCACAACCACCACATCACAGATGCAAAGCTTCCGGAGGTCCCTTTAAGTCTGGGCATTCAGAGATGTGCTGAGCAGACCGTCAGATCAGGCATAACCTGGGACTGACACAAAGAGCAGGAAGAATCTCACGCCTCACTCTGGGATGTGCATCTTAGTAAGATGTTTTGATAGATCAGTAGGTGAAGCAAAGGCAACCCTCTTCATCTTACGTCTGTGCTTAGACCTTTCCATCCCTGTCCTGATCCTGAAGAGGGACACAGGGATCGATTCCTATCCTCCACACACCATCTGAACTCGAGACTTTAAAACCCTTCATTCTCTGAAGGATCCATTTAATAAAAACTAAGAACAGAAAACCCTCATGAAAGGATCCTACTTCTAGTCCCTCGTTTCAGGATATATCTAAAATAATGGACTAATTCCTCTAAAATATTTAAAATAGATTCAATGTACAAAATTGATACCTGCTTACGTTATATGCAGTGCACAGATTGTGAGTCTGGGAGAACCTCACAAATCCTTACAGGCCCCAGGACCCAAGTTCCAAAGCTTGGCCACGTCTGGCGACAGCCCTGTGTAGACCCACACCCTCCAGGCTGCCATGATGTCAGCCGCAAGCACACAGGGTGGCACAAGCCACACCATGGCTAAAGAGCTGAAACCGGCTCCACACATGATATAGCTAAACTCCCTTGTTCTGTGGAAAGGAAGCACCAGGTCAAGGTTTCAGGGAGTTGGCCAGAGTCACACAGCACCCTCATGCAGAGCCACACTTAACACACCAGTCCTGACCACTACCACCCCCCACCCAACATAGAATCTCATTCCAAGAAAACGCTCACCTGCGTGGGCACTGAAGCATCACTCTGCGACTTCCAGCTACCACAGCCCCAATCTAAAGGGATCTAAAAGATCATTCTGCTTATTTTTTTTTTTAACATTAGGCTATAGCAGAAACCTCACAGCTCAATCAAAACACCATTTATCCATCCATATCACCAAATATGTTGGTAACAGATCCTCACAAAGCCTAATCCTGGCTGATGTGCAACCCCAGCAACACAGCATCACCATCAGCTAAGGCCTTGATGAACACAGCGAGAGCAGGCCCTTTCCTAAGGAGGCCAGAGACGAAAGTCAGGGCAACGATTCATGTGCAACCATTCATTCAGTAGTAAAAAGTCGGGGTGGGAGGAGGGTCTGGGCTGGGCTGGCAGCACCTTTAAAAACATACACAGTGGTACTGTAACATTTTAAGACGTTTTTAATAAAACAAACAGAATGTAGGAACCTAACTGAACATTAATCCCTCAACGTTGTTCTATCCCTACTTCTACTAAAACCACCACTGTGGGAGACACTCCTTGGAAAGCCTCTTTGGGAAAAGCCTTAAAAGGCAGTTGTGAGCCCTGTTCGGAAATGCCCTTCCAAAGGCTGGGCTTCCCGGACATCCTCACTTGCAGAGTGACACCCAAAAGGTGGAGAAACAGCCGGGCGCAGGGCAGCCTCAACAGTGTGTGTGGGGGGGGGGAGGCTGCCCAGCAATCTGGGCGCAAAAGCTCCACTGTCAGCTGAAAAAACAAACAAACTAAAAAATAAAGTAAAAATCACCAGCCAAACTCCTTTTTCATCACACTTGCGTTTCGTTAAAAAAAAAAAAAGAAAAGAAAAAAGAAAAGAAAAGAAAATACGGCACTCACACATGGTTCTTCTACGAATTCTAATTAAGAAACATGACGTTCAGTGAGTTCTAGCACGCATAGTGGTGATCTTCAGAGACTGGACCAGCTTCTTGGCCACGTGAGGGGTACCTGGGACGCAGCTGTTTACCTGAATGGTTTCTTAAATAACTGACTACTATCACTCTAATTCTCCTAGGCATAGCTCCGTTACAGGCTACCGACCGCCAAAGTCCCATCCCAAACTTGCCTTGCCAACACACGTTAACTACAAGGGAGCCATCCCCCAGTCTTAGGGTGAATTGGGAAAGGGCCGGTTAAACGAGGAAACGGGCCACTCCTTGGTAAAAGTTTGTAGTTTCCTTTCCCAGTACATCTTCTTCTTGTTGAGGACTTCCATCTTGATCCTGTGCTCCTCCTCCGCCATCTCGCACTCACGCTCTATCTGCTGGATTTTGGCCACGTGCACCTCGTTCATCTGGATCAGCTGCAGCTGGAGGATGGACATTTGCTGGTGGTGCTCCTCCTCGTGCATCTTCTTCAAGGCGCCTTCCTGAGTGGTTTTGCTCCTGTAGTTCTTATTGGCTGTGATTCTGACGGCTGAGCACGAAGGTTCCGGCTGCGAGGTCCCCTCACACACTGGGAAATGGACGAACTCTTTCTCTTCGTCGCACAGTTCTCTATTGGAAGCAGCAAAGGATTCTGGGAACAATAACGGCAAAAAAAAAAAAAAAACAGTAGCGGGAAACATGTTAAAAGACTTTACAGGCAGAAGAAAAACGTCAGTCCAATCCCAGACAGCAGCGTCCCTCACTGCAGGGTCTGCACTCGGCCCTCTGACCGCACCTGACTTTTGTCCTTGGGACATCTCCAGGACATGGTCAGAGATCCCGCTTTCATCTGCTGTCAGCCCCAGCACTGTGGGGAGGAGGCAGTGCTCAGGTCCCTTACCCTCTCCTCAGCACCTGACAAACTTGAAATCCCCTTCCTCCATTACCCTCCCCTAAGTGCTTTTCACAGCCACCTTCCTCCCTGATTGCTCCTTGGAGTATGGAGGCCCCTGTTCCATTCACCTGTCCTCCTTTCGGTACCCCCTCCCAAGGTCCCCATCTCTGGCTCTATTGTCAATTTAACCCCATAATCTGGTCCCAACCTTGCTTCTTCCTTGTTTCACTCTCCTGTGTGCACTTGGGTTCTGCCCCAAACACTCATTCTCTGAAGTCATGCTTCTGTGTCTCACTATTCTCACAACTTGGCGTTAGACTCAGTACTTAGCCCTCCCACACACCAGTTTCTCTTTCTCAACCTCCTCTGCGATCCCTGCTGGTTCAGGGCCAACACTGGTTGTTCTGAAACCTCAGACCTCTCCTTCGTAAGTGTTCTCCTTAACAGCACTCAGCACACAGTGTTCCATTTTGGCACCAGGCCTTGCTCATTTCATTTATCCGCAGATACTAATTACCTTCCTTGGTACCCAGTAAATGGCTAGTGATGCTTATTGGCCTGAATACACAAAGAAAAGAGCACATGGACATAAAAAGTTTCCTTTTGTAGATGCGGTGTGTACAATGGTATTTCTATAGGGCTATAATATTAGTCTTAGAGAATGTCAATAAGAAAACCACTAACTCCAACAGCTCGTGGATCTTTTTGTTTGTTTGCTTGTTTGCGATAGGGCCTCCATCCCCGGCTGTGCACAGATTTGCTGTGCAGCTGAGGATGACCTTTAACTTTTCATCCTCCTGCCTCTACTCCCCACTCCATTGCCTGCGGCTGGGATTACAGGCATGCAAACCACCACCTCTGGTTTCAAGTGAAGCTAAGAGCTGACCCCAGGGCTTTCTCACAGTGGGCAAGCACTCTCTACACCTCCAGCATTCCCATGGAGATCTCTAGCGGTGACGCCATACCGTCTTGAGAAGCTCTGCATTCTCAGTAATGAGAATCTTCTCCTTAGAGAAAATACTAGTTTACTAACAAAATTGATTACGTGATATGTCCAGTACATGATCCTAGAAGAGGAGATGCTGGGAATGGTAACAGCTGCTGGGGAAACCCAATTTGTAATGGTCTACTAATGGAAGGAGAATGGCTCCTGTCAGGATGACTCCATTCCGAGGGCTGAGGTAACAGCCATAAGGAGTCTCTAATTAAGGCTAAAGAAAATGCAGAAATCTGAAACAGAAATTTTTAGTAGAGAAGGAAAAAAAAAACCTTTTTAAAATAATTTATTTAATTTTCTTTATGTGATTGGTGTGAAGGTGCCAGATGCCCTGGAACTGGAGGTACAGACAGTGAACTGCCGTGTGGGTGCTGGGAACTGAACCCAGGTCCCCTGGAAGAGCAGCCAATGCTCCCAAGTGCTCAAGTGCTGAGCCATTTCTCCAGTCTGGGGGGAGGGGGACCAAACACTTTAGTATCAACTAGATAGTGAGACTGTTTCCCTGGTACTCCTACCAAGTCCAACAGCTCTCACCGGGACTCAGTGTCCTTCCTGCAAATTCTCTGTCTTCCTGGCACTGGCTGAAACCAGGTATTACACATGCCTGTCTCCTAGTATGTAGAAGACTGAGGTGATGTCAGCTTGGGCCACTATAGCAATATTTTATTTATTTATTAACAAAGCTTGCCTGAAGATCAGAGTGCAGAGCTAAGCCACTAGAAGCCAGGGAGTGTTGGCTCACACCTTTAATCCCAGGACTTGGGAGACAGAGAAAGAGGGACTCTGTGAATTCAAGGCCACCCTGGGTTTGAATCTGTCTAAACAAAGGGAACTAGAACTCACACAAAGGTGATCCCAGTGCTCAGGAGTCACACGTCTTTAAGGCCAGCACTAGGGAGACTGAGACAGGAATGATATGGCTGGGTAGAGAGGTATATAAGGCAGGAGGAGACAAGAGCTCATTGCAGTCTGAGGTTTGGTGGAGAGCATGCAGTCTGCAGTCACACAGAGGACAGGATCGCGCCTTTGTTTGCCTGAGTCTTGGTAGAGGTAAGAGCTCTCTAGTGACTTGCTACTTTGCTTTTCTGATCTTCAGCTTGAACCCCAATATCTGTCTCTGGGTTTTTAATAATCATGCTACAGGCTACATAGCAGATTTCTGTCTCAAAAATATTATCTGGGGCTGGAGAGATGGCTAGACTGCTAAGAACACCTGTGGTTCCTCTGGAGCTCCCAGGTTTGAGTCCCAGAACTCTGATTTCAGGGGAATCTGATGCCCTCCTCTGGTCTCTGTGGGCACTGCGTGCATATAGTGCACATGCAAGCAAAATGCGTATACACATAAATAAAAATAAATCTTTAAAAATAAATCTGAAAAAAAGGAGAGAAAAAAGGAGAAAAAAAAAGAAAGGAGAAAAAGTCTCCAGCTCTTTGGAGGGAGAAACAGCCTCTCACTTCACTCTCGTGTAGAGCCCAGCGCAGAGCCTGGGACGTCAGGGAGCACCGGATAAATGCATGTGGACAGAGCTGGTGACAGTGGGGCACATCTCTCCCCACCTGACACAGAAGACGGGGATGCGAAGGGCGACACTGAGCAGAGGCCCTCGGACGTGAGGCTCGACCACTTTACCTCCAGTTTTCCTTTCCCATCTCAGATCTGAAAATGGTTTTGATTTTGAAGACTGAAAACAGACACTTCTACCCTCACAGCTCGAGCCCACGCCTATGCGCCTTTAAAGTTCACCCATTCACAAGGTAAAACTTCCAGTTCCCAGACAGTCCCCTTTATCTGAACAATCCTAGGCTTCAGGGACACGGTGGTGGCACTGCCCGCAGCGCCCGTCCCGTGCACCACACAGCCACCGGCACTTTACAGTCCCTCAGTCAAAGTCTACAGCCTCTGGGGACACGATGACGCCAGGAAACCAAATCTAGCATCCAAGGCCATGTGGCAACATGAGAATCCAGGACTCTGATCCGGGCCCGCATAACAACAAAATCATAGAGCAATGTAATGTCCGTAAGCAAAGAAATGATTCCTTTTTAAGATGTGTGCCGCCATACGCATTCCAAGAAAAACAGCCAGACCTCTTAAGAAGACTGGAGGAAGACAGGACTTAAAGCAAGACAGACCAGTAAAGTAATTTTCAAACAAATATTAGCACCTATACATAGATGCTAGTACTCAGGCTGAGCGATCCCACATAGGAAAAAAGACTAGCCTGGGAATGGCAGCCTGCTGCAAACGTATACCCTACCGTCTCTCTCCCAGGTGAAATGATGCCACCCAAAATAGAAAACAGCCCAATTCTATGCAAAGACTGGGAAGACTTTCCTGGGACCGAGAACTCAGCCAGGAAGGTGTTCTATCACTTGGGTAATTTGAGTAAATTTAACACTCTCAGGAGAAGCCTACTACAGCAACGAACAGACGAGAAGAAAACTGTGCAGGACAGTGTCCGGTTAGCTCACCAGAGCGAAGGAAAGATGCCTGAGGAAATGAGTGTGATGCGGCAGCTGTGAGAACGGAGTTTACATGTTAACTAAAACGAAAAGGCCGGGCTTACACACAACAGCAGACCTGGGTCTTCAGCATGCTCTTCCAGGTGAGGAAAGCAAAGGCAGACCCACTGTAGCACAGGTGTAGCGTGTGGGCGAATGAGTACAGGATGCAATGCGAGAGAACACACACAGCTAACACACTTGACCGAGGATGCAAGTGTGCCGAGACTGGAAATCCATCGTAGTCCTCGGTACCTGAGCTCACACCCTAGGAGAGAACTGGGTTCAACAGCGAAAAGGGGACCCAGAAGGAAACGTTCACATGATTTAATGAAAGCTTCATAAAGAGATACAATGCAAAAATTTAAATATAACTTCTCATAAACCGTGTGGCTGCTATTAAAAATGCCCAGTTCTGTGCAACCACTCTGGAAAGCAGTGTGGAGGTTTCTCAGGAAATTCGGGATCAACCTACCCATGGACCCAGCAATACCACTCTTGGGAATATACCCAAGAGAGGCCTTATCACACAACAAAAGTATATGCTCTACTATGTTTATAGCAGCATTGTTTGTAATAGCCAGAACCTGGAAACAACCTAGATGCCCTTCAA